CTCCGATGGTAAATTTTATTTTGTACACATTTGGCTATAACTTAAAAAAATCAATTGACCATGTATGTCTAGTTCCATAATTCCTTTTCTATTCCATTAATACATTTATTTAACCTTATGCCATTACCTCTATCTGATTATTGAAATGAGGTAAATCCTCCAACACTCCAACATTGTTCTTCCCTAAAGATTTTTTTTTTTGCTAGTCCAAACCCTCTGCTTTTCCATATAAATATTTTAATCAGTTCATCATTTTCTACAAGAAAACTTTTGGTGGATTTTGTTTGGGATTGCATTGACTCTATAAATGAATTTGAGGAGAGAACTGACATTTAATAACATTGAGTCTCTGTCCTAAGATCTATAAACATTTATTTAAGTCTTCCATAATTTTTCCTAGTAATGTTTCATATTTTTCAGTCAACAGATCAGAAACATACATTGTTAAAATTTCTGAAAGTATTTAACGTATTTTGATGATAACATAAGTGGTATTTTAAAATGTTATTTTCCATGGTCTATGGCTAGTATATAAAAATACCATTGATTTTTGTACATTGATTTTATACCCTGCAATGATCTGAAACTTGCTTTTAAATTTTAGTAGGATTTTTTGTTTGTTTGTTGTTTTTGTGTTTTGATAGATGTCTTAGAATTTTCTGCATATGTAGACAGATCATATACAAATAAAGACAGTTTTACTTCCTTTACCAATCTGCATAAATGTATATTTTTATTGCTTTGTTGTACTGAATAGTTTCCACTATGATGGTGAATAAATTGGTGAGAAGAAAATCCTTGCCTTTTTTCCAATCTTCAGAGATAATGTTTCAATCATTCTAGATTTGTTACAGGTAATCACAGATGGCAGTTATCATGTAAGGAAATTCCTATTGGTTCCTAATTTGCTGAGGGATTTAAAAAAATCAAATAGATTTTAAATCTTTTCATGTTTTTTCCCACTTAATGAGATAATCATGTTACTCTGTAAGATGGTAAATTTTTTTAAAAAAAATATTAAGCTACCCTTGCATTTTTAGATAAAAATTTTATGCTCAAGATATTAAATAACAATGCTAGTAAGCATATGTCCATTTCCTGATTTTAATTGAATTATAAGTATTTCACAATTTATAATAATCATAAATTTACTAGCCCTTATACAAACATACATATAATTCAATTGATTTTAATTGAATTATAAGTATTTCACAATTTATAATAATCATTGGTAACTATTTGGGAAGTAAATGTTTTTTATTAGGCTTTGTATAACTAATTTAGTGTTTTCATTAGGAATTTATTAATTTATTTATTAATGTGATCATTTATTTTATTATGTTGATGTAATGAATTGTCAATTTTTCTGATGTGGTATCAATGTTGCCTTCTTGGCAGATACTGGTGCTTTTCAAGTTATTATTTTGTTACATTGCTGGATTCTACTTATTAATATTTTCTGTAGAATTTTTGTTCCTATATATATAAGTGTATTTATCCAGTTTCTTTCTTTTTTCCCTCTCTTCTTTCCTCCCTTTTCATTACTTACTTTTGTTATTAAAGTTGTGTTGAAGTCTGAAAATGAATTAGGGGAACTTTCATCTTTATGATTGGGTGAGACTCTATTTTTAGGTGAATAAAATATGAATTAAATTATTTACCTACTTTTTAGATTTCCTTATTTATACCTGTTTATTGTGTGTGCGTGTATGTGTGTTGCTAGGAAATGAACCTAGAGCACTTAATCACTGAGCTATACCCATATATCTGTTTCATATTCATATTGTCATCCTTTAACAGTATTAACATGTTTGCATTCTTTTCTGTCCAACTTTTGTTAATCTTCATGTAACTTTTACAAAAATCAGATACATAAAGATTTTTGTCATTTACAAGGTGTGTTTAATTCAATCACATTGATTATTGATTAGTGATTTAATTAAAATGATTTCTTAAATTTTATTTAGTGTTCCTGTTTGTTTTTTTTTTAATTTCCCTTCAGTTCATTTTTCTTTTTTATTGCCTTCTCTTGGATTGATGATGTTTTCTTACTTCTTCCAGAGCATTATTTTTTAGGAATTGTATAATTTTTTTATTTTCTCCATTTCTTTTTGTTCTGGAGATTTAACTTGGGGCCTTGTCCTCTACTAATGAACTACAATTCCCAGCTCTATTTATTTTATTTTTGAGATAGGGTCCCAAATTTACTTAGGCTAGCCTCAAACGTGATCTTCCTGCTTCACCCTCCTGAATAGCTAGGATTACAGATATGTGCCACTATGTTGGGCTTTGTGTATTTATTTCTATTACTTTAATGCACAGCCTTAAATTTTTACATGCATATTTAATATAGGCTAAAGTTAATCAATATAATTATCATGTGGGTTTATAAGTGCCTAGATAGCTTCAACCTAAAATCCCCCTCTATTTTCCATTGTTTTGGTGACTAGTGTTTTGCTTTAAAAAGATATTAAATGTTTTCTCAAGGCTTATTTAGATTAGATTTACTTGCATATTATATAGTTCATATGCTCAATTTTATTTGTTGCATTGAGCACTTTAGTTTTTCAGTCTTAGAAATCGTATTTTCAGTTGTGGAAGATTCTCCATAACTATTCTCCACTTTCTATTCTGATATACACATTAAAATGTCACTCCTTATGCAGGAGGGCTTGTATTTTGTTCTCAGCTTAGGATTTTGTCTCAGAACTCTAGCTTTGAGTACCTTAATTATTTCTAACAACCAGGAAATGCCTTTTCTTCCTTTTAAGTTCTGTACACCCATTTGCACCTGTATCAGTGTAAAGGTCTGTACATGTTACTAGCCTTATCTCTCTCAGTACTGACTCCAATTCCTTTCTTCCTTTTTTGAAATTCCTATTTTATGTATGATGACCTGTCTCAACCTATTCTCTATGCCTCAAATTTTCTTTAGGTACTTTCTATCTTTTCACCTTTAGGTGCTGTATTCTGCATGATTCCCATTTCAAATCACTAATTCTCTACTCTTTTCAACTATATCCAGTGTGCTGTATTGACTTTTGATTTTTAGACACACATTTTTTCAGCATAAGACATTTTAATGGATTAGCTTTCAATTTCTGGATTTTGTATAGTTATGAAAAAGTCCTATTTTTTGTTTTCTTTCTATTCCTTCTTTTATTTTTGAATATTTTAAATAGGAATCTAGTAATTTTTCATATGGTTCTTATCCTTAGTTTTGAATAGTATAAACTTTTCTCATTTTGGTGTCTACTTCAGGCAACTTGGTTCCTGTAGTTCATACCTTTTATTGTGAGGTTATTCACACAGAGTCTGTTTTCTCTGAGAATCCTGCATATTCTTAGTCAGGGAAATAGATTTTTCAATCACTTTTGCCTGAGCTCTATGTTTTACTATTTGCAAAATCATTTTTGCATTTATTTCTGGGTTCTAGGATTTTAAATCTCTTGGGCTATAAAACCAGGACATCCACCTGAGATTCCTTAGAATGCCTTGTCTATTTATAGCCCAAAGAGAAGTATTGATTATTTGCAGTTAATCTAAGCCAATCAATAGAGCTTATCAGGCTCCATTTTACAAGCCTTTTATAAATCCCAACTTCTTATAAGGAAATTAGTTTCAGTTCCACTTTCTCTTATGGTCCGGAGGTTTCACTTCCTGTTCTGATATACACAATAAAATGTCACTCCTTTTGCAGGAGGGCTTGTATTTTGTTCTCAGCTCAGGATTCAGTCTCAGAACTCAAGTTTGGGTATCTTAATTATTTCCAACAACCAGGAAATGCCTTTTTTTCCTTTTAAGTTCTATACACCCATTTGCACCTGTGTCAATGTAAAGGTCTGTACATGTTTACTAGCCCTTATACAAACATACATATTCTTTCTCCAGGCAATTCTATGTGTTCTCCACGACATGGAGGTTCTATTCTATATTATTTGGATCTGCAACATAGATTCCACTTCTGAAAGTTCCTTTCTGTTTTCTATCTATCTTAAACTTTTGTATTCAATACTAATATTCTTTTTGCTTTTGAACATTGTTATGAGTATTGGCTTAAAAAATCAGTGCAGTAACATCAATGGGATTTGGGGTAGGAGTACCGAGAGAAACATCTGCTTACTCAGCCATCTGTATCTGCTGTAGGGAGTTCATTACCTTTTTATTACATCCTCTTTCCAGCAAATCATTGCTTTTAGAAAATTAAAATATTAACTTTAGATTTCGAAATACTATCACCTTATTTCAATTTCTAAAATTTTGAATGTATCTCTCCATTGTACTTATATTTTGAATCATTCTCTATTCCAGAGTTTAAAATATTTTTGATCTCATGACTCCTTCTTTCTCTATAATCTTTTTTTTTTTTTTTTGGTGGTGCTGGGGATTGAACCCAGGCCTCACATCTGCTTGGCAAGTGGCTCTACTACTAAGCTACAGCATCCTTTGTACTCTTAAAAATAGTTGAGAATCCTGCAACATTTTTGTTTTCTGTGTGTTTGATTTATCAGCATATACCATGTTACAAATTTTAAAAGAGAATATTTAAAGACTAATTTTTAAAACTCTGATAAACCTATTATATTGAAGCTAACATTTTTTATGAAAAAATAGTTGTATTTTCCAAAATAAAGAAATATAGCTATTTAATATTTTTGAAATCTCTTTACTATTGATACTAATAGAAGATAACTGGATGATTATCTCAGCTTTTGCTGTTTAGTATATATTGTTTTGCTGGAAACAAACAAACAAACAAAAAAAAAAACACCTTCACACAGATACATAGTTGGAAAAGGGTAGACCTTAGGGACTCTCTAAAATTGGTCTTATGGTGCCCTCTAAGAGTACTCAAAACATGCATTATTTACAACTGCTATAAGCAAAGTTTATCACAAAATCACTTTGGAAAATTTCTCATCTGATAGATTTGAAAGATAAGAATGAAACAATATATTAGCAATTTATGATAGATATAAAACATTAAAAAAATCTTTTACCTGGGTTAAATTATGAAATAAATTACTGTTGGGAAAAAAGAAGGAACATATATTAGTAAACAGCATATTTAATATTAATTTGGATGTTCTACTTCCAATATATGTTTCTAAACCTTTGAATATTCTATTTGTACGCCATTGCAAATATATAAACAGGCTAAATATAACAAGCCAACAAACAAACAAACAAAAAACCCTACATACATCGATTTGTTTATCAATGTATTTAGTGACCCATTTGTCATTGCATAAGACTAAGGAGCTTTAATCTGTATGTTTTCTTAACAATACTACAAGTTCATGTAATCAAAATTGCATGGTTAATTTCCATTAAAATTTTGATATTTTTATTTCACATTCATGTTGTAATTTATGTCAAATACAAACACATCCTTTAGTGCTACAAATTATTCACTCATCAGTCCTAAAGGAACAATATTCATTTGTATACTTAGTTGTATGCTTTTTAAGAAGTGTTTTTTCACTTAAAAGTTATCTGTGTCTATTTTTATCATATAATCTCTGAAATTCAATATACCTCTTCCATTTTCTGATCATGACACAGTACCAAATATCTTATTATGAATAAAACAAAAATGAAAATATTTTAGAATCAGCAAACAGTATTCAGTTAGTTTCTTTTTAATTTTTTTTTAGTTGTAGATGGACACAATTTATTTATGTATGAGGATCAAACACAGTGCCTCATGTGGTAGGCAAGTGCTATGACCCCAGCCCCTGCAGTTAGTTTCTGAGACTATATAACGATCATAATAGTTCATATATCTAGCCAAATATGGTAGAGAATTACTGAAAATAAGTACTATAAATCTTGGCCAGTGTACTGTGCCCAGGACTCAACAAAGTTCAAAGTTGATCAAAAAGATCCCTGGCTCCAGAACTGATATGATCTGCTTTGTGCAATGATATTTGTCAAAGGTGCAGGAAGAAAGAAGTTGGCCGCTGAATGAATTATCAGTGCATTTGGAAAGGAAAATTTGAAGGCAGAAAGAGAAATATGTAGGTAATAAAAGTAGCTTCGTAACCTTGTAGAGAGTGAGTCAGTATCAGTGGATGATTAACTGAACAATCTTATTCCTATGGTGAGAGGAAAAACAGCTGCATTCTGCTGTATCTGTATCAATCTGCTTGGTTTTCTTGAGTTGGTACACAGATCTCAAGTGTAGAGTGAGAGGAAAACAAAGGAGAGAATCCTGGATTAACCTGACATTTAAGATAAGAACAGATGATAAAAAACACCAAAGGATAATGGGAATGGGGGTGGAGACTGGGTAAGAATTAATATAGAAATAAAAATAGTGGTATAGAATGAATGAAGGAATGAGAGAGTTACAAGAAGAAATGAATGCTGTGCAATATTAGATGTGGTATAGAAGTTAAACAGTAAGGGGAAAAAAGTCCTATTAACCTTGGCAATTGACTTCGTTGACTTTGCTAAAGCAATTTAAATAGGTAGGTAGATAGTAGTGAAACAGACTGATAAAGCTTCACAGTGAAGCTAGGAGCACTGCTTGTAATTCCAGCTGCTTAGGAGGCTGAGGCAGGAGGATCACAATTTCAGCAACTTTTCAGCCTCAGCAACTTAGTGAGACTTTAAGCCACTCATCAAGACCTGGTCTCAAAATTTAAAAAAGGGCTGGGAATGTGGCTCGGTGGTTAAGCACCCCTGGGTTCAATCCCTGGTACCAAACCAAACCAAAAAAAACAACAACAAAAACAAAACAAAACAAAACCCAAACAAACAAAACAACAGCAACAACAACAACAAAACCAAAAATTTCAGTGAAATTATGAAAGATGACAGACAAGAATGACCCACTGAATTATTCTCCCTTCCTATTCTGTATTCTAACCCTGAGGTGGGGGTGGGTAAAGAAAGCAAGAAAGTTAAGATGCTAACACGATACTTGTTCCAGGAATTCTGGTTTGCAGGCAAACAGAGTCAGTAGGTTTAGAGAGCCCCCCCCAAGACACAGTACTCAGAAGGATCCTGTGCTCTGCATTGTTTGTCTTGGAATTTTAGTAAATTTATCTTTAAACTTGTATTTTCTAAATAAGTATGACAGAACAATGGAGCATGAGTGGGGGGTTTGGAGCTTTGGCTCATTCACAGTCCTACCTCCTGCTGCCTCTCTGCCTCTTTGGGACAGCTTCTGTGATACTCATTCCTCCATGCTTTGGCATTTTGGGTCCTGACTGGCCATCCTCTTCTCCCCCGCCCCCCGAATCTTGCTTTTACTTTTGACTTTGGTAAGGATCTAGATGTGTGAACTCTGGGCACATCTGGTGTGGGAATGATTAGTACAAGGGATATGTCCTCTGCAGCATCCTGGATTAAGACATGGAAGCAGCTGTCCCATTTCTGGCTGGTAGTACCATGTAGTGGCTGATGGAGCCCTCATCATTGCAGGAGTGAGCTTCTTGGGCACCTCCAATTCAGGTATCTAGCATATTTCAGTGCAGAGGTTGTGCTAATCTTGGGGGCTCCCATTATGTCATACCTGGCTTGATTTTTCAGATGCCACCATTGTTCTGGGCATGATATATGGATCTATGGAGAGGAGAAACTGGTAGGAAGCTGGCAGTTGGTGGGCCCATGCTGAATCACCAGGTGAGTAAAAGGTCTGCACTGGGCCCATGAGTATTACCGTGTCCAAGCAACATGACATTATATTGCAAATAAAAGAAAATCATGACAGGTAATAAAAATGACTATTGAAGAATAAGATCTACATTTAATACTTTAAACAGTGTTTTCCCCTGTTTTTGGAAAAGATCCTATACTTTCATTTGGCATCAGGATGAAGAGATACAGAAGCAGCAGAATAGTATGGAATGGTGTTTGCTTCTAGGTCATAAAGTTTTAGGAATTAAAGAGTTTTAGACACAAATGCATGATATCTACAATGAAAATTACAAAACGTTGCTGAAAGAAATTGAAGAGGACACAAACACACAAGATACAAAGACATTCCATCTTTATGGATAGGAAGAATTGATAGTCCAAGTGTCCATATTACCCAAAGCAATTTACATAGCCAATGCAATTTCCATTAAAATACCAATGGCATTGTTCACAGAAATATAAAAACAATCCTAAAATTCATAGAAAACCCTCAAAAGACCCCTAGTATTCAAAGTTATTTTGAGCAAAAAGAAAAAAGCAGACAGCATCACAATACCTGATCGCAAAATATACCACCAAGGTATAATAACTAAAACATCTTAGTATTGGTGTAAAAAAAAATGAAACGTAGCTAGTGGCTTGGGAGGCTGAGGCAGGAGGATTGTGAGTTCAAAGCCAGCCTTAGCAAAAGTGAGATACTAAGAAATTCAGAAATACCCTTAACAATTTGCCCATAAATTTGATGAAATCCACTAATTCCCTGAAAGACACCATCTGCCAAAACTCACAGAAGAAAGATCATGTGAATAACATATCTACTAAAAAATTTGAATCAATAACTAATTACCTTCAAAAATTTAAACAACAATAAAAAAAATTCCAGGTATAAATGAGTTCTCTGGTAAACTGTACCAAACAATGGGAAAATTATACCAATTATCTATGATCTTTTTCAGAAAATAGAAGTAGAGGGAATACTTTCTAAATCATTCTATGAGGCCAAAATCATCTTAATAAAAAACCAGGCATTACAAGAAAACTGAAAAGTAGGGGATTTTCATGATGGTGGAATAGAGAAGGTTGCTTTCCTGTTTGCTCCACGGCGTGCAACCAAGAAAGCAGTCTGGCAGCTTCTCAGCAAGCTAGGTGAATGGAAAAAAAACATGGGGAAGAACTTTACTGGAATTTAATGCTGGAAGCTCAAAGCAGATCAGGGACCTAAGAGATTGGATGAGGAAGACATCCTCAGTGCCACCGCTGCTGTCATGGCTGGAGGTACCAGCCAGAGTGGTCCCTCTGTGAGTAAAGAGGAGAGAAAAGGGAATTAAAGGATTCTGCACTTTTAAGAGGCTTGAGGCATGTCTGGGTATGGAGAGTTTAGAGATCAAGATTTGCTGCACAATATCCTTGTCTTGTGAGGGAAAGAAGCTCCATCTCTACCAGCTGCGTGCAGAGGGAAGAGGAAAGAACAGTTTTGCCACTACAGTGCCAGGTCTGGCAGGTGAGGGAGCCAATTCCTGGGGAAACCCTAGTTTGGCCTGCAATACAGGCCTGGAAAATCCACACTGCATGACATATTAATAGACCACAACACAATAGTACTGGGTGAGTTTAACACACTGCTCTCACCACTGGTTAGATCCACCAAACAAAAACTAAATGAAGAAACTATAGAACTAAAAAAATACAATTAATAATTTAGACTTAACTGATATATATTGAATATTTCATCCACCAATGACTGAATACACTTTCTTCTCCACAGCACACAGATCCTACTCTAAAATAGACCATATTTCAGGCCATAGAGCAACTCTAAGCAAATACAAAATAATACCTTGCATTCTATCAGATCATAATGGAATGAAATTAAAAATCAATATAAAATAAAAAATAGAATCTACTCTACCACCTGAAGACTTAAGAATGACCAATGGATAGCAGAAAATGACCAATGGATAGCAGAAAAATTAGGAATGAAATAAAAAATTATTTACAGGTAAATAGCAGTACAACATATTAAAATCTCTGTGACACTTTGAAGGCAGTTCTAAGAGGAAAGTTCAATGCACTGAGCTCATTCACTAAAAAAGATAGAAAGTCAACAAAAAAATAACCTAACATTACGTCTCAAAGCCCTAGGAGCGTATTAGGAGCTAGAAGTAAAATTCCCATGTACAGAAAGAGCTGCAACAATTTTTTTTCATTCATTTCACTAGGAAAAAAAGAACAAATCAACACCAAAAGAAGTAGGAGACAGAAAATACTTAAAATCAGCTGATATCAATGAAATTAAAGCAAAAATAAAAACACTTAAACATGGACAAAACAAAAAAGTTGATTCTTTGAAAAAATAAATAAAGTTGATAAACCTTCACCAAGCCTATAAAGAGAAAAAGAGTGAAAACTCAAATTATTAAAATTCATGATGAAAAAGTAAATATCATGATGGACACTTCTGAAATACAGATGATAAACAAACTATTATACTCTAATAAAATAGAAAATCTGAAGAAATCAACAAATTTCTAGAGACATATGACCTACCCAAATTGAATCAAGAGGACATAGAAAATTTTATCAGTTTCAAGCAATAAAATAGAAGATGCCATCAAAAGCTTACCAACAAAGGAAAGCCCAGAACCAAACAGGTTCTTGGCTTAGTTCTACCAGATCTTCAAAGAAGAACTAACACCAATCCTCTTCAAATTGTCCCATAAAATAGAAAAGGAGGGAACCACCAGGCACAGTGGTACATGCCAGTAACCCTACGGTTCAGGAGGCTGAGGCAGGAGGATTGCAAGTTTAAAGCCATCCTCAGCAAAAGCGAGGTACCAAGCAACTTAGTCAGACCCTGTCTATAAATAAAATACAAAATAGGGCTGGGGATGTGACTCAGTGGCCATTTTGCCCCTGAGAGTTCAATCCCCAGTATCAAAAAACAAAACAAACAGAAAGAAAGAAAGAAAGAAAGAAAGAAAGAAAGAAAGAAAGAAAGAAAGAAAGAAAGAAAGAAAAGAAAAGAAGGAAAACCCTTCCAAACTCATTCTAGAAAGCTAGTGTCATTCTGATACCAAAACCAGAAAAAGACACATCAAGGAAAGAAAACTTCAGACCAATGTGCCTGATGAACATAGATGCAAAAATTCTTAATATAGGCAAATCACATACAAAAACATATTAAAAAGATAGTGCACCATGATCAAGTGGGGTTCATCAAAGGGATGCAAGATTGCTTGTGATAGTGCTTGACTATGTTCTGATTCATGAACACTTTTTTAACTTAATGATTAATTTTACAATACAGTTAATTATGTATTCTTTTTTTAGAGAAAGAGAGAGAGACTCAGTGTGTGTGTGTGTGTGTGTGTGTGTGTGTGTGTGTGAGAGAGAGAGAGAGAGAGAAGTTTTTAATATTTATTTTTTAGGACACAACATCTTTATTTTATTTTTAAAGTGGTGCTGAGGATTCAACCCAGTGCCCTGTGCATGCCAGGTGAGCGCACGTCTGCTTGAGCCACATCCCCAGCCCTAATTATGTATTCTTACATGCTTCGCTTTCTTAGTTATATTCATTCACTCACATTAAAATTAATTTGAAGGCCAAGTGTGGTGGCACATGCCTGTAATCCCAGTAGCCTGACAGGCTGAGACAGGAGGATCGAGTATTTAAAAGCAGCCTCAGCAATAGTGAGGTGCTAAACAACTCAGTGAAACTCTGGCTCCAAATAAAATACAAAATAGGGCTGGGGATGTGGCTCAGTGTTGAGTGCCCTGAGTTCAATCCCCAGTACCCCCTAAAAAATAATTTTAAGAGTTACACAAGACAAAGAGAGCCTTTTTGTTAGATATATAGTTTTGTATTTTTGTTCAAATCATTTAACTTATCTTATGTTTTCTTATCAGTTAAAGAAAATAGTGCTTGCATTTATATGGTTATTATAAAAGTTGAGAAAGACAATGTACGTAAGTATGAACATGTAGACATAGTTGTGTTCAAATAGTGGTTACTGTTGGTATTTTCATTATTTGTTGTTCAGTATTACTTTGGCAACCAAGATGTGGGTAGATAAAAGTTTGTATGAAAACCATAATATAGGCAATGCAATTGTGATTAATTAAACGCTGAAGCTAAATACTCTAAAAGCATTAATTCTTTGTATTTCAAATGGCATTACTTACGTAACTGTATAATACCACAGAAAACAAATATTAGAAGAATCCACTGTCAAATAGCGTTTTTCTTCTTTTTCCTAAAAGAAAATGCAGAAGAAACTAGAATGTACTAAGTTAACTTTAAAATAAATACACTTATGAACATTGACATAAAAGTCATAGGGGAACTAAATTACTTCTCTAAGATCAGATAAAGATGAATAAGTAAATTTCAGAACAGGATAAATATACATATGATTCTAGCTCAATTCTCAGGTTATTCCCTGTAATTAAGAATTTACTATCACGAATGACAAATTGAAAGACATTATTATTGTATTTTTCTTTCTTATTGATAAATAATTCAATTAATTTCCTGGTTCAAAAGTTCTCAGGTGATTTTACTCCCCAGGGGACATTTTACAATACCTGGAAATGCTTTTGGTTGTCAAAACTCTGATTTTGAGTACATTTCAAAAGTTTGATATACCTCCTTAGCTGGGTTACAAAATCAAATGACACTCAGACACATAAATGACACAGATATTCCTACATGAATGGGTGTATGCATGTTGTTACACAACATTGTACATTTATTTGGTGCTATGAGAGGTCTCCTAGCAGTATTTAGAGATGAAATGATTAGATTATGATAGCTGTGACCTCATCTGCCCATTCTAGTTTGAATGGAACTTAAAGCAGATGGGGCATGGCTGGAGAGGGTGGGCATGCACTGGAAGGGTGCATCTTCCCTGGGGGCCCCTTCTCTTTCTCTCTGCTTCCTTGCTGCCATGAGGAGAGCATCTTCCCTCAGTTGCACCCTTCCCCCATGATGTTCTGACTCTGTCGGCCCAAGGCAATGGGGCTATCCTTCTATGGACTGAGATCTCTGAAACTGTAAGCCTCAAATAAACTTGACCTTTTTCTAAGTTGTTCTTGTTGGGTGTTTTGGTCACAGTGATATAAAAGCTGACTAAAACATACGGGCTTACAACATAAAAGCGAGAGGAGCCCTTTACTTCTTCATGAATTGTGTTCTTAAAACTGGTACATTTACTTAAAGACTCAAAAAGACAAATAGAAATATTTTTCACTCTCTAGGGATTGAAAAATGAATAAATATTCAGCTGGCCACTCCCACAGCATTCTATCTACTTGTATCTTGAAAAGAAAGTTAATTAATTAAAGAGAAGTCTTAAATCCCAAAGTAAAAGCAGGTTTTCTCAAGTAGATTCAGATATACTTGTGTGGGCACATCAGCTGTCAGATAATGTGGCCAGTACTTTGTTACTAATCATTAAAGTGCCAATGCCTTATAATGCTTCACTTTGTAAACATTTTACTTGGTAAACTAGAGAAGAGTCGACATCATTCTCTTTCATTTGCATTTACGTATGCTTTCTTGAATTAAAGAAAATGCAGTAGAATATTAAACAAGTCTGCTAGAAATTCCTTTCAATCCTGGGTATTGCCACAAGAGTGCATGACATAAGACTCATTGATTTGAGAGTACTGTTATCTTAAGGTGCTGCCTATGGACTTTATAATTGTTATTAATAAAAAAGGCTAATGTAGGTGTTGGGAATGTAGCTCAGTGGTACAGCACTTGCCTAGCAGGCCTGAGACCCTGGTTTAATTCCTATCCCCATAAACAAGGTAAAATCAGATACCGTTTCATAACTTATTATTTGACATGAGATATATCTAAAAATTAATGACATATCAACAATAATTTTTAAATTTTTCTCTTATTTAATATTATTTAAAACAGACAAATTTGGTTGAAAAACTCAAAAGAAAAATAAAACAAAATAGGAATGATTATTCAAATGTCAATAAGTTATCATTAAAATCAACTTACTGGGCCTGTAACAATTGGTTGTATAATATAAGAACCAGGAGAAGTACAACGCAGTTCTGTCACGGGTGATCTAGTGTTTAAAAAGAATAGGAAAGAAGAAATAACAGATGTAAACAAGTTGAATAAAAATTGCCTCACTGTTTTTTTAACCCTAAAATCTTCAGTTGAATGCTAAGAGAAAATTTTAAATATAGCCAAAAATTTTTTTCTCTCTCTCTCTCTCTTTTTTTTTTTTTTTTTTGAGACAGAGTCTTGCTAAATTGCCAAGGCTGATCTTGAGCTGGCAATTCTCCTGCCTTAGCCTCCCAAGTTGCTGGGATTACAGGCACATGCCACAGTGTGGCTATGAATGCTTTTTTAAGTCTAAATAACATATATGAATTTACATTCACAGTAAAAGTCTTACTTGTTATTTTCAATCTGACAATCTTCTGGCACATTCCACTCAGAAAAATTTGTTCCTTCATACTCTAACTTAATCTGTAAAGAAAATTACAGAGTTCAAATGAAAAATGAGCTTCAAAATGTTCACACCTCAGTGTTTGGTTGTAGGGTTCAATATTCTCAGACCTTGTTATTTAAAGATAGAATAACTAAAATTCAATTGCTTTAAAATTGTACAAAGTAATATGACAAAGGAAAAGTAACTTCCTGGGACTTTTCAGTAGTCTCCCCTAAGTCTATAAACTTTTAACTTGGGAGTGGGTATTCGGGATTGAACCCAGGACCTGGCTTATGCTAAGTAAGGACTCTATTATGGAGCTATATTCCCATCCCTAGTACACTTAATTTTATTTTACTTATTAAGCAGCTAGGAGCAGACTGACAGATTCTGGGGATTAAAAAAGGGTAAGAAAGACATGATCCTTTCCTTAAAAAACAAATCTCATTTCATTCTGAGGTCCTGTTATTTACATATCATCAATGACCATAATAACTTCACTGGTTACCTTCTCCTTATTTCTGCAGCTATTTTTCACCTTGCTGCCGGGGGCCACCCTGTTCAGGAGCTATGTACACCCCTTTAAGTTCTAAGTAAAGAGGTATTGCACCCTGCAATGCAACTGGACTTTACCTCTGCTCAGATAAGACAGGTGTAGCTCTGGGAGTGAGCATTACCGGAAGGGGTTGAATTACACCCATCTGTTGGTTGTAATCCTACCCTTCTGCCCTTTTTTTGGATAGAATGTTCCATGGATTAGCTCCCCCCATTAGTAAAACCCCGGTTCGAGGTGCTCCCTCTCTTTCTTGCCTGCCTTGCCTCCTTGGTGGGAGCTGGGTCAGAGAGGCCATCGCAGAACTCAAAGAAAAAGGTATTTCTCTGTCTGTGTGTCATTACTTCATTCCAGCCCAGTTCTCCTGGAGTAACCCTGACCGGTTTAGGTACCTTGCCTTTCAGTTCTTTTGTTTATAAATTCTTTCTTTCACCTCCTGAAATATAGCGAGATACTTTCTGACATTGTTAGTCTTAGGCTCAGCATTGGTATGGTAGTGTTTAGCTAGAGTTGGAACCCTAGCTCACCCTCTTATCTTTATTACACAAAAATTATGGACACATGTGTATGTCAATATTAATTGTTTCCTAATTTATAATATGGGATTATAATATCAACTGTTTCATAGACTTGATGTTACAGATTTAATGGCAATGTATAAGAAAATAGAGAAAAATCAATCAGAAGATAGAAAATAATTTTGAAATATATAAGACAAAATTTGATAGAATTACTAGGAGAAAAATTTAGTCATTAGTATAGTGGTAGGTTTTTAATATATTTTCCTCAAACTATAGATAAGCTGAAAAAAAAGATACTCACAGACTAGAAAAACATCATTAACAAGTGCCGTGATATGCTATGTTTAAAATATATACATTCCTAAAATTAACCAAGATAAAATGTGCACATACTTTTCAATTTCACATAGAGCATTTACCAAATTGATCATATTTATAAAAGAAAGTCTTAACTAATCTCAATGAATCATTTTCTCATATACCATGCCTTTTTATATTAATGAAAATTTCTCATAAAGTTAGCCAGAAAAAAATCCTAGGATATTTGTTATCTTAAAAGAACAACAAACCAAACCAAAGACAAAAAAACAAAACAAAAACAAAAAAACCCTGTATTTCTAAATGATTCATGGAAGAAGGCATAACAATAATTTACAAAATATTTATAAATAAACACATTTGAAATTATCAAAACTTGCCATATGTGAGTATAAGGAGTCTCCAGGAGGAGACGTATAGCCTTAAAAGTATTCAGAAGAAATAAGATAGTTTGAAAGTGAATAAACTCAGTTTTCAGTGTAAGATGAAAATTTAAGAAATAACAAGAAAGAAAAAGTCAAAAATGAAAGGAATGAGAAAAAATAGGAAGTTAGAAAACCAGGGTGTGGTAGCACACAAGTATAATTCCAGGTACTTAGGAGGATGAGGCAGGAGGATCACAAGTTTGAGGCCAGTCTCAGCAACTTAGTGAGACCCTGTCTCAAAATAAAAAATAAAAAGGGACTGGAAATATAGCTCTGTGGTAGAGCACCGAGCACTACCAGAAGAAGAAGAGGAGGAGGAGAAAGAGGAGAAGAAGGAAAGAAACAATGGAAAGAACATTGAGAAAGGACAGTGGTGATGTGTTTTTTTCAATATACTCAAACTTCCCTATAAACATAGAAAGGACTGTGGGAAGCCATTCTCCACGTGAGTGGGTACCTCCCTGAGTGGGTGTGAGGCGCTCCGGCCAGCTGTGTCAGAGCTTATCCCCACCCTTTTTAGGTGCGAGAGCCCATCCATGTGGGGTGTGACTGACCATTGACCCTGAGACCAATCACTGACCCTGACCTTGGAATGCTGTCCCCCTCGACCTTCATTGGATGGAATTTTCCCCTAAATTTCTTGTTCCCCAATAAAAGCCCACTCTCTGGCGTGCTCTTCCTCTCTCCTGCTGGTCTCTTGTGTAAACCTGGCTACCACATCAGGTGGCTAGAGGCAGGAGCTGGGAGGGGCCGTCTCTGAGCTGGGCAAGAGAAAAGGTAAATTGAGTGTTATGTGTCTTTAATTTGATCTCACTAGTTAACTTCTATGTTTTGAACCTCTAGTATGAAGCTAGCATGCTGGTCGTGCGGCAGAAAGGACAATTAGGATACTACCAAGAAAATCACTGGACAGCATCAATTAGAAAACTCAATGACAAGGTATCTCTTGATATCCCAAAAGTTGATTGAAATAAGTGACCAAAATTCAGCAGATTCATGTGAAATCAGTATAAGGAAGCAAACAGAAAGCAGGCAAGCTAAAGCTGAGGGAAAAGGGCCTAAATTAGTGACCCACAAATGCAAAGGAATATTACTCAACAATAAAAAGGAATGAAGTACTCTTATGTAATATTATGAATGAATCTGAAAGCACTAGGCTAAGTGAAAGAAAACTGATTCAAAAAAGACTCTCTATTATACAATTTCATCTATGTTTGACGATCTAGAAAAGGGAAAACTACAGGAACAGGAAGACAGTGATTGCCAGTAGCTGGGGTGGGAGAGGGTGTGGCCTCACTGCAAAGGGCATGAGGGAATTTCTGGGGGAGATGTAAACATTCTATACCTTTATTACTGTTGTGATTGTGCAATTGTAGGCATTTCAAAACTCATCAAACTCTAAGCTTAACATAAATAAATTTTATTCTGTGTAAAATTTCAATAAATTTGCCTGTTTACAAAAGGACCTAAGGATATATACAAACTATGCATCGTGTATATCCTTTATCTGGATCCAGATATACATAAGCAAGCAAAAATGAAATTTGCAAAACAATTGGAAATTTGAATACCGATGAGCTATTTGGTGATACTGGGTTGAGGTTACCACCCAACCCCTAACTCCCAGCCCTAGGTAATCACCAAGTGACTGTCTATAGATTTTCCTATTCTAGACATTTCATACAAATGAAATCATGCAATGTGTAGTGGTCCTTTGTAACTGACTTATTTCTCTTAGTAAAAAAGTTTTCAAGATTCATCTATGATGGAGCACGTGTCAGCACTTCATTTTTATTAATCAATAATATTCCATTACATAGCTCTTCCACATTTTATCTATCCATTCATCAGTTTCTGCCTGCAAAAAGAGTGCTTGCTGCTGTCCACATTAATCCTTGACTGCTACATACTCCCTCTTGAAGGCAGGAAAAACAATTACAAGTATTTAACAAATTGTATAGCACAGGCACTGACAATTCCAAGTAGGTACTAAACAGTATGCTACACTTTGCATACTAACTGAATTCTGCTTTGCCTAGCCAGTATTCGGAAATATGGAGGAGTGTGTTAGGTTACACAATGACTGGGGGTTTTCCTGTCATTTAGTGTTTGGGAATAAGGGAAGCAAGTTATCCTGCAAAAGATGGGATAGACTCACACAATAAAAATTTCCCACAATTTCAATGGCATCACTGCTATGGAGTAATCTCTGGTAAATACTGATAAAAGAATCTTCAATAAAATGCTAACAATGGAATCTGGAAGCATATTAAAATAATAATACACTGGTACCAAGGGAAATTTTTTCTGAAATGCAATAATACTATAATGGATGATGCAATATAAGTGAATATATTACTGTGATTTATTATGTTCATTAACCTAAGGAGAAAAATTCATATGGTTATTTCTGTAGATCATGAAGATATTTAAAAGTTCACTATAATACACATGTCACTATTTGTAGTAACTATTTTTTGCTACAAATATTTCATAAATTAGGAGTTAGTAGATGCCTTGTTAATTTTCTCTCTCTCTCTCTCTCTCTCTCTCTCTCTCTCTCTCTATATATATATATATATATATATATATATATATATATGTATCTGCTCAAAAGTGAGCATTATGTTTACCTGGGACAAATTAGGAAAATTTACTAAAGTTAGGAATAAGACGAACAGGAGAACTCTGGAGGGCATCATTCTCCATCAGTTGGAAGATTCTATATTATAATGATGCCGATTCCCATTATAACCAATTATCAATTCTTCCCAAAAGCAAACCCAATGAAAATCTAAACAGATTTGTGTGTGTGTTACTCTAAAATTTACATAAAAATGCAAAGAGACAGAAATATCCAAATCAGTCTTATGGAAGAACAAATCAAAACATTCACATTATCAGGTATGAAGATTCAGTAATAAGCTATAGAATAAGAGGGTATAGAATTGGCACCGAGTCAGATGAGAGTTTTAAAACCAAGCTATCTTTATATAGAACAAAGAGAACACCAGAAAAACAATAGGGAAACAGTAAGTTGTTTAATAAATTCTGGTTCACTATATGGAAAAAGTATTTATGTGAATGCCTATTATACTACATAGAAGGTGGATTCCAGATGGATTTATGATATGTATTTTAAAGGTAAAAATGTAAGGCATATAAAAGAAAATGTATGAGAAAAATATTCGCAACTCAAGGTGAACAAGGGTTTTTCTTAGATAAAGACAACCCCCAAAGTTTATATCACCAAAGCAAAATGGGAGGAAAGGGACTTGGATTATCAAAAATCACCCCCATCTCCCAATAAAGTATTCATGGACAAAGTTAATGGTTAGTTAGAGGTAACTGAAGTGTTTGAAACCAACATTAAAATATAGAGTAGGATGCAGACAGCACTCTGTAAATCAACAAGAAAAAGGCAGAAAATTGAATGGAAAGTGGGCAAAGGATATAAACAGATAATTCATAGAAGGAGAGCCCTACATAAATATGTAATGATGTGTTCTAAATCACAAGTCATCAGAGAATTGAAATACCATCAATAAGCTACTATTGTGTATTAATGGGAGGAGTAAACATTGAAAATTTAATCATACTAATTTTTTTGGTGAAGTACATTGAGTGACAGCGTAAGTTCCATTCTGGAAATAATCCTGTAGAACTTAGTTATATTAGGAATCTGTATTCCCTGTGGCCCAGCAACTCCTCTCTTGGCTACATACAGTAGAAAATTTTTGCATAGATATGTAAAAGGACTTTTATAATTTATAAAGCATTTATCACTGTGTTGTTTATGGTGGTAGGAAACTATTTGGCCATCATTAAGGAAATATATAAATAAAATATAATTGATATATACTTAGTAATTAGGCAGCATTAAAAAGAAATGAACTAGACAAAGTGTAGAATTGAAAGAAAAAGTAATATAAAGAATGAGGTCTAAAGCTGGGGTCACCCCCACATCTATATTAGTCTAGATAGTTCTAGTTTACACTTGTTGTAAGCTTATGCCTATTGAATAATTATTAATAGCATTCTCTTTTATTCTCAATAGTTTGGACAATATACTGTCTGTATCATAACATCATTTTGTGAATATTAAATCACAAAAAACACACAAAACACTGAATATTTTGCTACATATGTATTTAAGGGCACACATATTTAAGGACATATATTGGAGAAGAGACCTATTTTAAGGTGATAAATAGGATGAAAGAAATTAAATAAAAATAAAAGTGATGGTTAGCTAGAAAACAGTTTGATTAACTCTACTCTCTGTTTGAAGGTTCAAAAATATTTAATACTCAACTGTATTTTTATTTATTTATTTATATTATTTCTTACATATATCACAATAGAGGAATGCATTACATTCATAAATAACTGTAGTTTTAAAGAGTCAATACTTACAGCACTTCTGGTATTAAAAATAAAGTAGTGTGGGCTGTTACTGTAATACCTGTGGAGGAAAAGGCCAAATATACACATTAACACTATTTTCTCCTCCAAATAGGAGGGGTTCTCTACATGGTCAGAGTATGGGCTGCCACGAACTTTACCTTTCCGCCCAAACCCCTTCCTGCAAATTGAACTCAGAGCTAAAGTGGAGGTAATCAATGAGCTCTACTAACCTTTTTACATTGCTCAGTACCTAAAGACATTAAAATGAAATGGTAAGTAAATACTTTTTACATATTTTTTGTAGCATAAAAACTGTTGAGGGCTGGGATTGTGGCTCAGCGGTAGAGCACTCAGTCTACCGCAGGGGCGGGACCGGGTTCAATCCTCAGCACCACATAAAAGAATAAAGGCATTGTGTTGTGTCCATCTACACCAAAAAATTAAATATTAAAAAACACTGTTGAAAATGATTAACTCTAACTCCTTTACTTATAAACTAAGTTAAAATGAAAACAATAAGGATTGCAATGTTGGAAAAGCAGTTTTTCTTATTTAGAACATTGAACAGCAAATTTCTGTGACTATTGTTCATGATTGAGTTTAGGCTACTTCAATTTTTTTCATCTTTCTAATGCATCTAAAACAGCACTATCCAATAGGAATATAATGCAAGCTGTTTATGCACATGTAATTAAAAATTTTCTAGTAGCTACGTTAAAAGCACAGAAGAAACAGATGAAATTAATTTTAATAATATATTTATTCAGGATTTGGACCATAGCTCAGTGGCAGAGTGTTTGGCTAGCATGCGTGAGGCACTGGGTTCGATCCTTAGCACCACATAAAAATAAACAAATAAAATAAAGGCATGCTGTCCATCTACAACTACAATTTTTTTAAATGAAAAATGTATTTTTTCAACATGTAATCAGTACTAAATAACGATTAGTGAGTTATTTTACATTCCTTTTTGTACTAAATCTTTGAAATCTTGTGTATTATACTTACAACACATTTCAATTTTGACTAAATTTTAGGTACTCAAAAGTCATATGTGGTCAGTGACTATCATAAAGCAGCACCTTAAAATTCCTTCACTTTCCATTCACTTCAATAATCTACTTCATGTCTACACTGTATACTTAATTGCCTTTGTAATTTCTCCATCACTAAAATTTTAAGTCAGAGACTGTGTGTGTGTGTGTGTGTATGTGTGTGTGCGTGTGTGCAGCAGGAAAGTTGCTAGGATATTATTATGTAACTTCTTTACCAGAATTAAACAAGCCTTACTAGTGTTCCAAATTTTTATTTTCAATAAATGTTAGTCATCAGTATAATCAAACATAGTGTGTATGGGTATGTATGTATATATATATGTATAGATAGATAGATGGATGTTAGTTTGGATCTGGAATGTTACCCGAATGCTTCTATATTGAAGGTTTGGTTCCCAGTGCAGCAAAGTTCAGATGTAGAACCTTTGGGGAGAGGTGATTGGATCATGAGGGGTCTGACTTCATTAGTGCATTAATCCATTGATGTATTAATTAATTTGAGGAGACTATTTGGAGGTGGTGAAAACTATGAGGTGGGGGCCTAGTTGGAGAAAGTAGGTCCCCAAGGGCATGCCCTTGGAAGAGTATGTCTTGTCCCTTGCCCCTTCTTTTCTCTATCTCTCTCTGCTTCCTGGCTGCCATGAGGTGAGTAGCTATCCTCTGCCAGGCCCTTCCCACATGATGTTCTGCCTTGCCTCAGGCCCAAAGCTATGGAGCCAGCTGATTATGCACTGAAACCTCTGAAACCATGAGTCAAAATAAACCTTTTCTCTCCTAAGTTAAATTTTCTTAGGTGTTTTGTTACAGCGGCAAAAGCTGACTAACAAATATACAGATCAAATAAGAAGATATGTTCATGTATTGTTACTTATCCCTATAAATTAAAATAAAATATAACCAGCAAGGTTTTTTTCCTAGTAAGTAGGAACAACCTCCCACTTCTTATGAACTTATTATAATATCCTTTTCATTACATAATGAGAAACCTCAGGAGGGAAAAAAATATGAGTGGCAGATTTTGGATTTTAGTTTTCAAGGTTAAAGTATACAATTTAATTTGTGAATGAAACCTGGTGGGTATAATGATAAAACTACCTTTTCTGGGCAGGCTCTTTTCCCTACTTTCATCAGCTTCCAATTTATACTGGGGCTGGGAATACAAGGGAGGAAACTGCATCTAAAGAGGCATATTTCAGCAGGGTATGGGACTCACATCTATAATCCTAGCTACTGAGGAGGCTGAGACAGAGGATTGCAAACTCAAGGCCAGCTGGGCTATAAACCCTGTCCAATAAAATAAAATAAAGGGGATGGACTAGGATGTAGCTCAATGGTAGAATACTTGCCTAGCATGTGCAAGGTACTTCGTTCAATCCTTAGCACTAACAAAAAAGAAAAGAAATGCCACATTTATTTAGTCCAAGACAGCTATGATGTCTCTCATCCTTGCTTTCTTAATTATGTCAAATACTAAATGTACTATTGTTGGAAATAGATTTGAGAGGCACATAGATATGGGGTATGCAGATGGACCATGTGCTATCTTTTTTAATGAAAAAGGCACTGCCATTTCACTCTTGGATCATAAGAATGTATCTTTCCTGTTCTCTCAAGTGTGTTCCCATTCTTTCAGCTCTTCGAAATCAAAAAGAAGGAGCTGGGGTTATCGCTCAATGATAGAGCACTTGCCTAGCATGCACAAAGCCCTGGGCTTAATCCCCAGCAACACACACACACACACACACCAAAAAAAAAAAAAAAAACATCAAAGAACATTCTTCCTTTAATAGTTAAGTCCCTTCCCAACTTCACTTTTTTCTCTATCCAGCCTATAGAATGGCATTTGGGAAAACTATATTCTCTTGAATCCCTTAATTCTACTATACTTATCCAGAATGGTCTTGGGTAGGTCATGCTCTTGGACATCTGATAGAAATGTGCTAAACCATTCATGTAGGACAATTACAAGAAGCACAGGATTCCCACAGAAAGTCCCAGTCCAACCCCACTAAATATACTGTGAACTATGTTAATATAAGATGAAAGACTTTGAGACAAGGTCCAAAATCATTATAATCATTATAGACCTACTGTAACACTAGAAAAAGTATATTCCTTTCAAGCACATTTAGAATATTTATTAAAATTGATCAGTTATTTGGTCCAAAGCACCAAAAAATTTATCAGAACAGGTTTCAGCTAGACCATATTCTCTGATTATATAACATAATCAACACAGAGAAATTATTAACATAAGGTAAGTCAAAATTCTTGCATATTTGGAATTTAAAAAGTGTTAAGTAATTCAAGGGTTATAGAAGAGATGATAATGAAAGTTAAAGCTCCCTAGAAATGAATAATAAAAAAAGTAGATACTGGTTCTTATGGAATACAGCAAAGCAGTGCTCTAAGATAATTTAATATCTTTAAATATCCTATTAGAAAAGAATAAAGACTAAAAACTATTACATTAAAGTCTAACTTCAGATGTTAGAGATAAGAGTATCAGAGTATGCCCAAAGAAAATAGACAAGATAAAAATATGAAAAGAAATCAAAGTACAAACAAAAATACAAATATGAGGAATACAGACAAGTTTTTAATAAGGGCAAAAAATGGGTAAAATTAAATAATTTTAATGAAAAGGGACTCCAATTACAGACACATATTAAGCAAATATTAAAACTAAAACACACTGCATGAGAGCTTTGAAAAATTTTGTGGAATGAGAATTTTGATATCTTTATTTTTATTTTTTTTCCAGAAGAAACAAAAGGCCTAAATAGTTGCATAGTATTAAAAGATATAAAGCAGTAGTTCAAAAATTTATCTAAAATACTAGCTAAGTGTTTTATCAAAATTTCATGGAATGACTGGGTACATGCCTATAATTCCAGTTACTAGGAAGGCTGAGCAAAAGGATTGCAAGTTCAAGGCAAGCTTGGACAATTTAGCAAGATCATGTCTTAAAAAACAAAACAAAACAAAACAACTTTCAAGTATCCTAGACTTGTATGAACTCTTCCAAGGAAAAAAAGGTAACATCCTCTGACTCATTTTATAAACAAACAAAAATACACAGATATAGATACAAATACCCTGAAGAAAGTGTTTGAAAATTGAATACAACAAGGCATGAAAAGCTTATAAACTAAATCATGTTAAATTTATACTATGTATGCAAATATGGTTCTGTTAGAAAAGTCTACAGATGAACTCACCACACATATTAAAAAGGAAACATACAATTGTTTTAAGAGATGAAAAATGATAAGAATGCATATAAATCAATAATTTAAAAAAATCAAATCAGAAATGCCAAGAAATTGCCTTAACAGTGATAGAATATCTGCAGAACACTTAGCACAAACAATACCCTAAATAAGGAAACACTGGTACCATTCCCTTAAAAACCTGGGATGAAAAATGCCACAATCACCATTTTCACTCAACATTGCATTAGAGGTCCTAGACAATGCAATAAGAAAAATAAACTAAAAGCACAGGATTAAAAAGGCAGGCTGAGGGTTTAGCTCAGCGGTAGAGCATTCATTTTATATATATGAGACCTTGGGTTCAATCCTCAGTGACAGTGAAAGAGAATACAACCCATTTCTGCAAAAGATCTAAATCAAGATGATATAATGTTCCTGGACAGGAAGAGTTAATATTCATAATGATGTCATTTTGAGTCATTATAATCCAAATCCTAAGAATTCTTCATGGTACTTAATAAACTAACTGTAAAACTGGTGGGGTTGTGTAAAGGTCTAAGAATGATCAGAACACTTCTGGGAGTGGAGACTTACCCTATGTGAGATATCATGATTTATAATGAAGCTATAATAGTTAAGACAGGTGTTACTGGAGTAGCTATAGGCAAACTGACCAAATGGAAGAGAACACAATAACAAATTTACCTGGGCCTGGATTTATATGAAAAAAAAAGAAGAAATTGCATCACCATCTTTTATCATTTAGAAAACTAACTCCATTGGGACTAAGAATTTGTCAAAAGACAAAATTGCAATCCTTTATTCCATAAAGTTGTATGAGTGTTCCAACAGAGCAGACAAAATTGATTTTACAGAGAGAAAAGAGTTGAAGAAAGCAGGAATAACAA